CGCTCGCAAACTAAACATGTTCCGGAACCCGACGATCTAGGAAACGAGCAGCGTACAGCCGTGTGGCCAGTCGGGAATTTACCTTTATCTCAGAGTATGTCAGGACCATGTCCAATTTTTCTTGGAAGTAAAGCCCTACCGGGGAAGTCATTACAAAACCGTTCTGTGGTACACTGAAGACAGGCAATAGCGCCCGTGCGTCGAGAACCTCAAAGCAGGAGGTAGCTCGAAGTCAAGAAGCCGCCGTTGTCCTCAGCAGTACAATTTATGACTCTGCCATGATCATGAAAGGTCCGAATCACATCCGGAATTATATACTTTCCACGCGAATAAACCAGCTATTCATACCAACAATACCGATGCGCCTCTAGCGGCACTTTTGTGGGCTAATAAATGGGCCACTTAAAAAGGATCCGCTTCCGTCATGAATGCATTCTTGTCGACGTTTTCAAATTTGTCAAAGGAAAAAAGAAAACTTTTTGAGTGATATTGAGCAGTAGGCAAAGCAACTTCTAGCAGCCTCTAAGGTGGCTTATCGCTTTGGTTGGCCGGCCACAAAGCACCGAGTGCAGTCAGCTCCGGCGTCAAACGAGGGTTGTCGTTCCGGCGGGCATCGCACGTTCGGTTTCGGTATAGACAGTTTTTTGTTTTGTTTTGTTTTTTGACCGGGTCGTGCATTCCCGAATTCTTTTTTTATTTCTGCCAAAAGTTTGTATCTTGTCAGCATGGTTTTCTGAAAGGACGGTCGGAGCAGACTTGTACGTAACGTGATTACTTGTAATCGAATACATCTTACTGTAATTTTGTGACGCTTCAATTACTTCCTTTAAGGAGTAACGATGCTTGTAATTGAATTACTTTTTTGCTGTAGTCGATTACAAACGTACCCATTACAAGTTTTCTAAATTGTTTGTTACTTTTTGGAAAAGGGGGGGGGGGGGGGGTACATATGCCGTAGTCACTCAGCTCTGGGCAATGGTCATTTTTTTTCATTTTCGAAACCATTAAAAACGGGACCACGAGAATTAGTAGGCCACATCACTATGCTTCGTTTCCTGAGTACATTTTTCTTTCGTACACCGGAAAGTACGCCCGGGTATGAAAAATGACCTTATCCAGCCTCTTGGGAGTAATATATTTAAACAGCGCTTTTTCTATTTATTTATTTTTTTACGAGAGGGATTGGGTACGTTGATGTCACTCACTCAGCTCTAAACAAAAACGGTCAAGGTTTTTTTTTTTCTCGGAACCACTGAGCGCTAAACTTCAAGGAATATGCTACCTTAATATAAAAAAGGTTTAATGAAAAGTAACATGGGAAGTAATTGATTACTTAAGAGTGATATTTTATTACTTATGAGGCTGTAATTGTAATTGTAATTGGTTACTTCTTACGGTAAAGTAATTGTAATTATAATCGGTTACTTTTTTCAGTAGCGTGTAGAAGTCTGGCTTGAAACCAATCTTTGCTCTTTTCTAAACTCCTTTACCCCCATTGTTTTAAACAAAGGCAATGTTAAATGTATATATTCTGACACGTCGAAAGCTTCCGATAGACTAAATCATGAGCTTTTGTTACACAAATTATTGTCAAGCGGTTGCTGTTCAGAGGTATGTAAGTGGTTCGAAAGTTACTTATCCTCTCGTCCAAACAGTGTTCGTATTCATAACAGTTATTCCGACCTTTTCTTCTCAACATCTGGGGTTCCTCAAGGATCTATTCTTGGCCCCATTTTGCACTTAATCTTCGTCAACGATCTAGCGGCCTGTGTAGATAGTGCTGAGTTACTGATGTTTGTTGATGACATCAAGCTTTTTATGAGTGTAAAGTCTCTTGTTGACTGTCATGTTCTGCAACGTGATGTCTTACGTGTTGTTAGTGGTGTTCAGCAAATAGCTTATCACTGAATCCCCTGAAAACAAACGCATTGTCTTTCTGCAGGCTTCGCTGTATAGTACACTATGATTACATTACAAACAAATGACAATCAAGCGTGCATCTGTTGTAAAAGACCTTGGCGTGTATCTCGATAATGCATTCAAGTTTACTCCTCACGTGTCATTTATTGTTGGTAGGGCGACAAGAGTGTTGGGTATTATATGCCGCATTAGTCAGCCATTCAAGAACCCGGCCTCCATTATTCGTTGATTTTGTGCCCTAGTTAGCTCTAGGCTTGAGTTCGGTTCTGTGGCCTGGAATTCGTTAACAAGAACACAAGCAGTGACCATCGAAAATGTGCAACACAAACTAATACGTATCGTTCCTGATCGCTACTTCCAACGCCGTTTCTATTTTGACTACACTCTTCTGCATAATAAAATTTAGTTGACACCACTGCCCAATGGAAGAGCAGAGCGCGACTTAGTTTTTTTATACAAAATTGTAAATAGCGTATTTTACAGTGCTTCGCTTTTTCGTGATGTAAACATTCATATCCCCCCTCGTTCCATTAGGTCCCGCAGTACTTTCAGCATTCACACCATCTGGAAACCACCCCCTCTGTCACGGATACAATCTCTGTTCATCAATATTGGAAATGCCGAACTTGATATATACAGTGCCATTAGGGTGTGCTTGTTGCCGAACTTTAAATATTGTCTGTTTTTAGCTTTGTGTTTAAAACCTGCTATTGGGCTTTTATTTTTTTTTTTGTTCATATTTATATATTTGTGCACTGAAGAGGAGACCTGCATAGTTGGTTTTGGGCACGTAAAATAAAATAAAATAAATAAATAACTAAAATTTGACAATGAATATAACTCAAATGACATGCTAGATCCAGGATAAAAAAAAAACAAAAAAACTGGACTGACTTTTAAGGTTGATTACCTCCATTTCTTCAATATAAACATGTGCCCTAAAACGTCTAATTAAAAGAAATAATCACAGAATTTTTGGTTAATTAGTAATCTTTTAGTTACATCCTCCTTGGAACATAATGTCCGTTTGCCCATATATCTCACCTCACTTGCACAGGCCACATTTGTGTATCTTTATATATATATATATATATATATATATATATATATATATATATATATATATATATCATAAAACGCACTTGAGAAAAAACTTTACGAATAATAAGTTTTAAAAAACTCCAACAACCGTCTCAAGTGTGTTTTCTGCCGTATATAGTTTTCGTCATCCTGCGCTACGTTTTCTCTCTTTCTATATCTATATATAAGTTTCTATAGTGAACTTTTCCTCGCTGGCGGCCATTTGAAACCCTGCCGCGCAGAGAGGATCCCAGCTCACATATGATTAAATGTTGATGGGAAGTAGGAGGCGCCGGCATAAAAAAAAGTCTTTCGTAATATAATCCTCCCAAAGGGGAAAAAAATGTTCGGGCATGACGAAAATATGAAAAAAAAAAAGCCTTCTGCTATATGAGCATATTAAGAGCGTTTGATATCTGGGGAAATTGGTGAGGCAGTTCACGTCCCGGCCGGCCCTTCGTGGTTTCGCGCTGCATGCGCTGACTTGCCGATCACTCGTATGGGAATTATCTCTTCTTATAGTAATATTCACAGTTTATTTTAAAGTATGTTTGCCCCCATCGTGGTCTCTCTTACCTAAAACAAAGAATTGGTTTTACGTTTTATTTTTTTAAATTTAAGTTTTAGAAGAATTTCTGAATTGTCTAAGACCTGACCAGTCAAAGTCAGCGCGCTCAGTAAACGACTTTAACTTATCGTGTCGGCGGGTGTGTTCGAAGCGTGATCATTTGAAACCCGTTTGTGCCGTGTAGCGACGACCGGTGCACGGGAAGCCGAATCACGTGGCTATTATCCTGATAAGCGGAAACAGGCAAAAGCGAGCAAGCGTTCATCCTTTTGCTATGTCTGGTCTGTGTCGGACAACAATGACAACATGACCGGTGTGATCGGGAATTTGTTTGAAGTGGGTCAGCGAGCGGTGATTCAGTTCCTAAAAGCGGAAAGGAGTTGACCAGTCGACATCCATTGCATGATGCAGGCGGTGTATGATGACGAATATGTATCGAGGAACAGTAACTTACTGGGCGCGAACGTTTCGGGAAGCACGTGAGAAAAAGAAATATCTTCCGCGGCCGAACCAGGCGCCCGGCCGTCAAAGCAGTGGGATGCGTGTCTGGATGTGCACGTTAACTTCTACTGAACGCTCGTGAATTCTTGCCTGCTCGTGTACTGTAGTGCTTCGCTTAATTCTGCCCCACATTCTGGTGTACCTTTTTATTCGTTCTAATAGAGCTACGTAAACGGGTTTCATAACTTTTATTTGATCACACCTTATATGTACGAGGATGATCATAAAATTTTCCGCAATCTGGCTGTAGAATTGATTCTAATCAAAACCTTTCCGAACCCGAGTTTCACGGAATATTGCATAAACAATAGCTGTTTGCAAATAATTTGTCACATTATCCACTGCTACTCGTCTATCCGACGGAATCAGTTCACGCGGTGCACGCTCAATGTTGAAATCAGTCGGTTGGATACAGACGGGCGTCTGGCTCCATCTTTATGGCTAACACATTTCTTCACAAATAAAACACACACAAAAAAAAAACACTTACTTCATACTGCGCACAAACTTCGATAAATATTGACCCCAGACACACCCTCGCACCACAAAACAATGACTTCCCCATTTGTGCAAATCACAAGTGTTGCAGCCATTGTTTCTCGCACATCAGTCACAACTGAACTGGCATAACACGTTCGAACCTGCTCAGAACTTACTGGAGAGACCTCGTACGAAAAGCGATTATATGACAATACTGCCAATATAAGTTTAAGCGGAGGGCGAAAAATTTTTAAACCACCTTCGTATGTTATGTACAAAAAATTACCACCGAAATCAACAAAAACAAACCGCTCACGGAAAACCCGTTTCATTTCCACTAAATAGAAATTTGTGAACCTGCAAAGGATGTAAAATAGCGGAAACACTCAAGCCTCAGTATTTTTTTTTTTTTTTTGCGATGTCACGATTGCTTTTTAACTTTTCAACTTACCGCTTGATGCAGCTCCCCCGGAAGGGTATCCTGAGCTCATCCTCAATCACGGTTTGACATCTGTCTGGTCAGAAGTGACGATCTGCGTCGAACTCCCTGAGCCTTTGGTATCACAGCATCGAGTTCATTCACAAACACACTCCCAAATAATGATCTTTCACGAGAGCTGCACCCAACTTCTGATCTGAAACTCGGGTCCTCTCCGTCAAAAGAGTTTAAACACGGAACGGGCAACTTCTTTTTTCTTTATCACTTTTTGCTTCGCTTCCAAGTAGCCACCTGTCCAACGAGTGAGCTCTCGCACATACACACACAGGCACTCCACGATTCAAATTCCAGGAACCAGATGCGCTTCTTTGGGACCTTACTCCTCAAAACACGATCCCCGTCTTCGGTCGTTTCAGCATCTAACGATTCGTTCAGTTACGGGAAATATTTGTCGCCGGTGTCGATTCAAACTCGCCTACACGCCGCGGGACGACCGCCGTCACGATCATCTCAGGTGGTCGCCGAGACACTTGAGCACCAGCAAGAGCGGAACCATGGCTGATCTAACACGCAGCTGGGCTGCTTCTGTTGGTCCTGGAACCCAGGACCCGGGCCCGTCAGGGCGCTGGGAAAGGGAGAAAAGAGACCCTTGTAAAAGAAAAGAGGGAAGCTTTCCACTCTATTTTTAAGGCCCTCCCGCTTCCTCGGTTTCAACAAACGGTTATTTCGAGTTTCACGACGGCGCTCTACGTCCCAGCACATCGAAAGCGGCTCTCTCTTTCTCCGCCTTCTCTTATTCTGTACTTTTGATCTCGTTGTCTTATTGCTTCGCCGCCATGAAGCTTGGGAGTTTTTTTCTTTTTTTTTTCTTTGTATTGTTTTCGACGGGTGTCGCTCCTGAGTGGCACTAAAGCGGTCACCGCCCACGGGGGTGGCGGAAGTTCAAAGGGTCGCGGTGATGTTCTCGAGCCCGAGGGTGACTCGCCTCCCGTCGGGCTTGGTTTTGACGCATTTAATAGTTGGTCGCTGTTACGCGCTTCTAATGTGTTGTTCCGAGTTTAGGGTGGAGAGGAAGTTCAAAGGGTCCGATAACGTGAGCCGAAAGTCGAACGAATGTCTGAAGGTGCGAAAATAGTTTCACATCATTTTGTGAAAACAGTTTTCGCAAGTTTCAATTTCCCGTTCGTTTCATTTTTACGCGTGTATTTTTGATGTATAGATTTTGATGGGTGTCACTTATAAATTTGCATGCAGCCAAAGATTCTTATTCTTAAATTGAACGCTGTTTACGTTGTTTTATTTATGTAGAAGATACCGCCAGCTCATATGCCAAGGCGGGGGGTTGAATGGCACGCTCGGACCAACTTCCGTAACACAACGTAGCGCATAAATAGACGAGGGAATAAATCCTGGAGTTAATGAAAAAATAAAAATATCTGTTGATAATTCCTCGCTACTTCGAATATCTTTCTTTGAGCAGTTCCGCGCACTTCGCCCCTCACCTTCTTGACCATTTTTTGACCGCAGGGCTCAGCAGTCAATACACGGGTGCTCTTCGTTAGTTTTAGAATAAACATGTAAATAATCCGGACCCCGTGTGAACCAACGTATGAAGATTATCAAACGAGGTAGATTGAGTTTTACAAGTGTCCCTTGTCTACTGTCGTGGTGTTTTTCTTCCGTAACTTTTATGTCGAGGTGCACCATAAAAAATATTATCGTTGTTGTTCTCAATTCTTAATGTAATTGTTTATTAATTCACTAAATGTATGATTTTGCAATTAAAAGAAGAAAAAAAACTGGGTTCCAATACAGACCGGTACCATCTTGTTAAAAATCACCAATAAAAGCCAACATGAAAACAATACATTCAGTGTGGAAGTGTACAAAAAAAAATCTGAAAGAAAATTATAGTTCTCATTTCTTTTCTAATTTTGCTAATGATTCAGGTCAACTAGCTCTCCAGGACTTGTGGAAACTGTTTGCACAGTCACGGGCCAATTGCTCGAATGTTTTTACCTGCCGGGCAGAGCAGGAACATCTTACGTTGGGGAAGCTCCCATGCATGTCTTTAACCAGATATTCTGACGATAATGTGTCACCACTTCATGGATTTACCGTATTTGTCTTTTCAAGTTTTACAGTCTCTTTTCGTGCCACAACAGACCTTTTTCAGAAGTTCATCAAGCAACTTTGGCAGTCGCCATTGCTCGGGCATGAGGCGCGTGCTTGGATCCGAGTCTTCGCCGAACGCTGACGTCGGCGCTCAAGTCCAATACGAGCTGAGCCGAGTTCACGCCCAACGCTGACGCAGGTCCGCGTGTCCAATACATTCTCAGAGCACGTGATGAACCAATGCGGACAGGCGTTGGCGCGAACTTTTGCAAAGGGTCTATTCTCGGACTTTCCACGCCTTCCAAATAGAGGGCAGATATTCGAGTTGCTTTGGATTCGTCTTTTTAATTGATATTTCTGTCACAAACTACGTAAGCACAAAACAGAGCAGACATACCGCTTTATAAAAGAAACACACGCATCATTATGCAGATTGTTTTGAGGTCCCAACGTCTGCACAAAACCATCTTTGAAGTTGCACCTGTCGTCCAGACACGCCTGGGGATTTTCAGGCGCCGCGACGGATGCGAGGATTTTAGAGCCCCGTCCGATTGCCAGCAGCGCTGAAATCCTCGTCCACTGGCCCCTGACCTTTCATCGTCAGCGCAGGCGCAGTGAACGCGCGCGAAGATGTCGACGCATACGGACCACGCCTCAGTCGCATCCCGTGCTCCTGGCTTGCGAAACGGCTCGGTGGTCTCGTCGCTTTTCGTCTTGCTTTCTTTTCTGTTCGCGCTGATGCGTGGCAGATGTGTCGACCCTGCCCTATAGGGTGTGACTGCATCACATGGGGTCGCATGCCCGAAAATGAACAGTCTGCGTCCTTTAAATAAGCGTGCACCTAAGAGTCGTCTGCAAAGAATAGCTGGTCGGCTGGACACGTATACTATACTGAGCCAGAACTTATCTCCATGCAGTCCTACACACGCTGACTTATTGTCTGAAAAGAGCACTCTTTGGTCGCGTCTTTGGTGCGCAAGTACGTGTCAGTGGATACGTGCGTGTGATTGTTTTTGCATATGTTTCTGAACGTCCGTTTCGGTGTGCACGCCTACAACATACTGTTTTTGTGGTGTGTCCTTCCATACACCCCCGAAGTTGATTTAAATTAATTCGTACCATTTAATTTTGTTGATACCTACATTTCTAAGATTTATGCGCTCATACATACATTCATGCATACACGCATTGATACAACTCATAAAATGGTCCGAAACAGAAGGAAAATAAAGTTAGAGCATGAACTTATAGCGAAAGAACTATCTAGCAAGTGCCTCCTGGAAGGCACCGACGGCGTCAATGTGGAGTTCCATCCAATTGCTTTCGTGGGATACCACTTCGTAGGCGAGCTACAGGGCATGCTTCGAAGCGGCAGTGCGAGCTCAAAATACTAATGACACTGCAAAAACACGAACTGTTGAAACTACGGCCAATGTTAGAGAGCTGCTTGTCAGGGGCATTGAGTAATGTGCCTTTGTTGGCTCCTCTTGTAGTGCTGCTGAAACTCCACAATGTTAGAGAGCTGCTTGCCAGGGGCATCTAGTAATGTGTCTTCGTTGGCTCGTCTTGTGGTTAAGAAAAAAGAGGATAACCGGGAGTGATGTTGACCCAGAGAAACTCGCTGCCCTTCTAGGGGACGGGAAAACGAAGGATGTTTTAGTCAAAAAATTAAGTCAGAATTTAGTAGAGGTCTGGCTGCTCGGTATGATAGAAAATTTGGTTTGACAGGCTTCAAGATCCTACACTTAATTTTAGTTTCTTATTCGGCAATTTTATCACAGACGGTTCGCCGGTCAGACTCGACCCTCGTAGGGAGGTTAGGGTAGCCCACAGAGTTCTATCGGCAGTTCCACGTGATGAAGTAGAAAAAATTGCGGTGACTTAGCTCGGCTATGCCAGGATATACGTAGCGTGAGCTTATGCGCACAAAATGAGAGGCGCTATCAAACAGCTCCGGTGCAGCGTCAGATTTGGCAACTGCGCAACGGAGGCGCACAGCTGGGCACGCGGCGGCCCCAGTGCGTCTGCCGCGGCTATGACGTCACTCCTCTGGAATACGCAGACCGGCGAAGCGCGCTCGGCGGCGGCGGCTCCGGCGCGCCAGCTGTTCGCCGTGTGACGTCACTGCTTGTCGCGCATGCGCAGCACGGAGCACGGCTCATTATGCGAGCCACGCGAAACTGCTCAACCTCGGCCAGTGTAGCTCACGCTACAAAAACAAAAATTACGATCGAGTAAGTCAGGCCAATGAAAACGTACCGCGGGTAGGGCTCCTTCCGCTCCTTTTCATCACCCGAACAGCAAAGGAGCAAGTGTTGGAGCAACGTTCACCGCTGCGAAGCACTGAAAGTTGCGGTCATTGACCCTTTGGAGTTTACAGAGAGAAAATTGAGTGTTTGCATAGATGTGGGAATTTCCCCTTTGAGGGTGTACCACTTATCAACACAAAGGTTCCATGGGTCCGGATAAAGACGTGTTTATTGACTGCAATGTCAGCACGCTTCGCTCTTAGACAATGAAAAGTCTGGGCGCTGGCTCAATTGCCAGTATCACCCGGTCGGTTTCCCGCGCTGCCGCATTAGACAGATTCACGGGAAGTCGGAGGCCCACAAAGAAAAACCGAGCTCCGTAGAGCCATGGGCCTCCGCCGACGAGAGCCCCTGGCCCACCTTCCTGGCCAGCTTATGTAGCCTCGGAGAATGGACGCGCCCGGGGAGGCCACTAGCAGTCGCGTCCATTATAACTCTCAAGGGTGTGCCGAAGGCGCGTTCACCCAAAATGGGCAAGGGAGAGCCGGCCCCTTCGGGGAATTCGGCCTCGTGGTTCCTTGTATCCGGGATGCCGACGCCATTGGTGACGACGGCTCCCACGGCCTGCTCGAAGCTAGGCCTGGATAGGGATAGAGGGAACCCCATGGTTCCCACAATAGTTAGAACTCAAGCGAGGCAGCAAGGATGCTTCATCTATCAGAAGGATGTTGAGAATCCGAGGGGGGGGGGGGGGGGGGGCGGCCATCTGCAAACTACTGAGCGAGGGCGACGCTTTATGCATTGCGCGGATGAAACGACGAGCCCGAAGGAGATGGTGAGCGTATCAAGTCTGTGCGCCGCGTTCGCAAAGACACCATCCTAGCTCTTTATCGCCCAAAACTTCCAGTGTGTGCCGGCAGCCGCTAAACAGTAATTTGTCATCCTGATCTCTGGGCTAACCTGGCGGCGGTCGACGCTGCCAGGCACATTTTACGTACACCAAGCAGCCTTGGTGTATGTCAAAATTGCGGCCTTTGAGAATTGTAGTTTCTCCTAGCGATGCAGCGAGACAGCCCCTGCGAATCACCGTGCAGTGACTTAAAGCTTCCTTAACTCAGGCAGTGCATTGTGAGGAAGAAACACGTGCGTTGAGAGCTGATTTGAATAGCACGATTACGTATCTCACAATAACTTGACTTCGGCATCTAAGTCATAGCAAGTTTTCTGATGCTCAGACATATTTGTATAATTTGGGAAGTTTAAGTTTCCTTGAACTTTGATCTGTTTTTGCAAAACGCACGCACACACACGCACGCACGCACGCGCACATACACACACACAAAATAAAAACACTTTAGTTTCTTGCGTCAGATTGAAATTGAACAAACTAACAAACATA